CAGAGTTCAGCCCAGCTGAACAAACATATAAGACATTCTCTGAATAAATAACTAAAGCAAAAAGGGTGGGGAGTGTGGCCGAAGTAGTAAGAATGCACAAGGCACGAGTCATGTTCATTGAAGCAAAGGGTCATTCATCAAGTTTAAAACTTAGCTTTAGGTTTATTTCACGCCAAGATTATAGAACTGTCATTGATGGATTAAACAGGTTTAAAAATAATTCTTGTGGAAACATGTCACCATGACTATAAGACAATCAACTTTCCTAGGAGTATGGACCACTATGTAGTAATAATTGTATTTTACCAGTTTACTTCATTTATTGCCTGTGTCTTCACTGGAGAAAAAAGGAGGGCAGAGACTTTTGTTTTTTAAATTTGTTTTGCTCCCACTTGGATTTCTAATATCCAGAACAGTGGCTAGTACACAGTTGGTGCTCAATAAAGATTTCTTATATTAAAAAAAAGAAAATTAAACATTATTAGTAAACTATCAAGTTAGGCTGTGGGCATGGTTCAAGTGGTACAGAGATGGTCTAGCAAGCATAAAACATAGCCAGGTACTGGTGGCTCTGGTCTGTAATCCTGCTGCTCAGGAAGCTGCAATCCAGTGATCACAGTTCAAAGCCACCTGAGGCAGGAAAGTCTTTGAGACTTATCTCCAATAAACTACTCAGAAAAAGTCAGGAGTAAGGGTAAACAAAGGAGGAGGCTGCAATGCTTGATAAGTAATGTACTCATTATCTTGCCCATGTAACTATAACCCCTCTGTACAGTATGTTCACACAAAAAATAAATTAATTTTTTAAAAAAAGAAAAAGTCAGGAGTGGAACAGTGGCTCAAGTAATAGAGTGCTAGCCTTGAGTACAAAAGCTCAGGAACACCTCCTAGGCCCTGAGTTTAAGCCCCAGGACTGGCACAACAAAAGCATAAAACTTAACTATGCAAAAGACAGAAATCCACCAAATTGAAAAGTTAGTATTACACCATGTTACTCTCAAACCAGAAGGAGAATGAAAAAGAATAGAAAGACTAAAGATAGGAAGTTAGTTTCAGAATTTAAAGAGACTACATGGTAAAATATATACATGAGACTTCCAAGATGAACAACAATCTTTCAAATTAAAGGTATGATGATTAAATATATGCTTTGTAAGTACTTATTTTAAAGAGGGAATTAGTATGAATTTACTAAAATGAAAGTTTTATCAATGTAGCACTCTTTCCTACCTTCCTTTCTGACTTGGTTTAAATTTCTTAAAATCTTTTTTTTTTTGAACTCTGGGCTTGGGCACTGTCCCTCAGCTCTTCAGCTCAAGGCGAGCACTGTACCACTTGAGCCACAGCACCACTTCCTTAAAATCTTTTTTTAATATAATTTTTTTTTGCCAATCCTGGGGATTGAACTCAGCGCCTGGGCACTGTCCCTGAGCTTCTTTTTGCTCAAGGCTAGCATTCTACCACTTGAGCCACAGCACTATTTACAGCTTTTTCTGTTTATGTGGTACTGAGGACTCGAATCCAGGGTTTCATGTATGCTAGACAAGCACTCAGCCACTAAGCCACATTCCGGCCCCTTAAAATATCTTCTGATGTTCGTTAATTACAATAAAAAAACCCCACACATGCAAAGAAAAAAATCCTACCTACTACTATTAACATGTTAATGTGGTGTATGCTGAGCCCACTAAGTGAGCAATAAGACATATGTGAGAAGCAGTTCAAAAGCTGGAGGAAAAGACATGCAGATTTTTAAGTAAGGAAATTGTAGGAAGGAGTAGCCTTAGCATCAAGACTTTGATGCTTGAGAGAAGAAATGTAATTAAGTACACTGTTGTTGTCATAGCATCTAAGGGCCCCTCAAAAAATCTTACGAATCTACGATGATGATATAAATTGAAATCAGTAAGTATACGCTTATTAAATCACCAAATGAGATGCAATGGGAAGCATAACAGAGCAAGGAACTAAAAAGATTTCAAAAGAAAGAAATCCACCAAATTGAAAAAAAAATAGTATTCTACCATGCCACTCTCAAATCAGAAGGAGAATGAGCTAGATTAAATCACTATCTTGAAACTGAACAGGAAGAAACAAAAATATGAATTACATTAACAAACTCTTGTACCCAAATACACAGCAGAGCAAACTTGGCCTGAGAAGGATTCATGGGCAAGAAGGCAAGATATTTTAGCATATGCTCCTGGGGCCAATAGTATGAAGGGGTAAATTAGACTAAATTAATGAACCTGCAGGCTAGAGTAGCACAAGCAGTGCTTATGTTAAGAGGAGGACAAATCACATGACTGAGTACAAATTAACCTATTTAGAGAATATCATATTCTGTTTCAGAAGACATGGATGTATTGAATGCATTTAACAAAGAAACTCAGAACTACCAAGCATTTAGAAAGCATGTGAGCAAGATTAGTGCACTAGGGCAGTTTGTCATAGAAAAGGAAGCCCCAGACAAACAAATGGTTTCCTCTTAATGTTTGAATACTGAATCCATTGCTCGTGTGTTATTAAGAAACACTTTGCAGAGCTAGAGGTGTAGCTCAAGTGGAACAGTACTTGCTTATCCTATGCAAAGCCCTGAGCTTCATATCCAGGACCACACACACATATATACAAATATTAGCTGAGTTCAATAAATGGGAATTAAGAAAACATATTAGCAAGCATGGTGATGCATGCCTACAATCCCAGCCCTTGAGAAGCTGAAGCAAGAAGATCATGAGTTCAAGGCCAGCCTAGTCTCCATGGCAAGTTCAAGGCTAGCCTGTGCAATATATTAAGACACTGTCTTCAACAACAACAAACAAGCAGTACCAGAAGTTTGGAGTCTGTCTTCAAACAGAAGATGGACGGCTATCAGTAAAGGAGAGAAGATAAAGTTTTCATATTAGGTAAAAAGTGAAGATCAAGCTGAGTGCTGGTGGCTCACGCCTGTAATCCTAGCTACTGCAGGAGGCTGAGATCTTAGGATCACAGTTCAAAGCCAGCCCAGGCAGGAAAGTCCATGAGACTCTTATCTCAATAAACCACCAGAAAACCAGAAGTGGCGCTGTGGCTCAAGTGGTAGAGCACTAACCTTGAGCTGAAGAGCTGAAGGATAGCACCCAGGCCCAGAGTTCAAGCCCCACAGCTGACCAAAAACAAAAAGAGAAGATCAGGTGACCTCTGTTCCTCTTCCTGGGGCTTTTTCCAGGTCTAAAGCAGTGTCTTCCATGAGGAAAAAAGAGAGCTTCTTACTACTATTACTACTACTACTGTACTGCTACAGCAGTAGACAGAGTTGCTATATACCTGAGAGACTTGCCCAGCCTTTTTTGTGCAACTGTGACTACCACAACGACTACTATTACTGGTAACATGAAGTGCCTATTCTACAGGCCTAGTGCTATAGTGGTGAGTTAAACAGGATCTGTAGAGGGGAAAAAGAGTATATAAGGTATATAAGATGTTAGTTTCTGAGAAATGTTAAGATAGCTTTAGTGCATAAATCAAGTATTTCACAATTTTTTTCCAAATAAATAGGACCTGGAGGTGAGTAGTATTCAGGGAGTGGGAGTAGAAAAACAGAAAGAAAAAAAAACCCTAAAATTAATATTCTTTATTCTCTAGGACAAATAAAACTAGAAATCTAAATTTTGTCTTAATTATCTGGCACACTAAGAAATGTGCTTCACCCAGTAAGTTTCAGATCAATTGTATACTTGCTCATCAAAAGTAGTCATTTCAAAATTGATTGTATAGAAATACTCATGAGAAATATATCTGGTAGAAGAGCTGGGAATGTGGCTTAGTGGTAGAGTGCTTGCTAGCATGCATGAAGCCCTGGGTTTGATTCCTCAGTTCCATATAAACAGAAAAAGTTTGAAGTGGTGCTATGGCTCAAGTGGTAGAGTGCTAGCCTTGAGCAAAAGAAGCTCAGGGACAGTACCCAGGTCCTGAGTTCAAAGCCCCAGGACTGGAAAAAAGGAAAGAAATAGAAAAGAAAAAGAAATATATCTGGTAGAAACAAGGCTTTTCTTTTTTCTCCTCCAAAAATAAAAAGAAATGTATCTGGTAGGATGAGCAAATTAAGCCATTATATTCATTTACATTATGTAAATTTGAATGGTAATTTGAAGGTAGGAATAGGAGGGGGGAAATGGGAGAGAATAATGGAAGAGATGACATTGATCAAGATGCATTGTACCTATAACCTGACTTATGGAACTGAAACTTCTTTGTACAACTACATTAGTAGTAGTAGTAATAATAATAATAATAGTAAAATGTATCTAAAGAGTCTAACTCCCATTTCTTAAATGGGGAGTAAGAAATGTATCTTTTTTTTTCTTTCTCTACTTTATCCTGTTATATTAAATAAGTCCCTCCTAAAAGAAATTTATCTGATTTTACTAGAACACTGCTTATTTGGACTTTATATATGAACATTTCAAATGTCCTACACACTTACCATATCTGATAGACTTAGGCTGACATACTCCCACCACAATTTTACAAACAAGTTTGAAACAATGACTCCAGTGATTAATGAGGCCATTGCTTTCATTCCCACATTAAAATGTTACATAAAATTGATTTTATTGGGGAGATGACTGAAGAAAAGTTGCTTAGCCTTACTGTGCCCTTTTTGTTCTCTTTGGAACACTGGGGCATTTTGGTTGAAGAAATATAAGAGAAAAAGCCAATCCATTCATTAAACTTTAGGGATAGAAAACTTTAGATTGTAGAGTTAGTTAATATTCCTAAGGCGACACATTCATTGGCATAGTAGCTGAGAAGACATTACAATCAAGGTCTCCTGGGAATCCTGACCCCCTTAGCTCAGTTCTAGGTATTTTCCATTCTTATCAGTGACGAAGAAAAATGGTTTTTTTTGTTTTACATAGTAAGATTTATCAGAAAAGATTGTTAGAAAACACTGTAATTTTCATTAACTTTGAATGTTTGAATGATATGACAATCATTCATCCAAAAGAACTTACTTCCAATGCATAATAAACTGGTTTGTCCCTGCCAAGTTTGTAAGCCACAGTGGTCAGAAGGCCGTGCTCAGAAAATACACACTGTAGGAAACAAAAATGATTTCAGTGTGGAGAAAATTAAAAGAGAGCTTTTTACTATTTAAAACTTAACATGCACAAAACAATTCAATCAATGAAACACTAATAATCTTTTAAAATAAATCTCAGTCAAAATTGTTAGTATTACAAACTTGAGCTATGCAAAAAAGTATTCCTTGTTCTAAATTACATTTTCATTAAGAATCTGAAAAGACCATAGTCTAGAGTCTCCACCAATACTAAAAGTGCACATAAAATTCGGACATAAAATGGGTCTTTTTGCAATCAATGGAACTTCATAATTTTCACCACTTTTATTGAGCTCCAAATTAAGTGATAGCAAAGATTAAAATCTTAAGACTGAAAAATCACTTAATGGAAAATTATTTACAAGCATTATATGATGTTAAAGACTTTCAATCTTCTAATTTAGATGAAAAAAAAAAACCAACCTTATGGCCTGTGTTACATAACAAGAAACATCCTGTTCCATACCTATAGATAGAAGAAAAAAATGAAAAGTATAATAATATTATTGCAACAACTAGTATGTATCTGAGACAAGCAGAAAAGGTCAGATAAGGTGACATTAAGCAAAATGAACTCCAAGATAAGGACACAAGTGGTTTTTTCTTTCTTGCTATTGTTTCTCGTGTATTTATAAGGTACCACGTGATTTTTTGTTGCTTTGTATGTCCCTCCCCCACAGTATAACCCGTTTTCACTGTATTTAATGTTGGTATAATTTGGGGAGTGGAAGGGAAAAAAACAAATTGTTTAAATAGGGATACAGGTGGACCCATTGCAACAATGAGATAAACAAGATGCTATGTCGAAAAACGAACTTTACAGTTTAGGGGGGGAGGGGAGGAGGAGGGCGGTGAATGTAGTTTGTGGAGATGGTAGGAAAGGGATTGTAGGGGGAAACAAAGGAGGAGGCTACAATGCGTGATAAGAAATGTACTCATTACCTTGCTCATGTGATTGTAACCCCCCTGTACAGTATTTTCACAATAAAAAACTTACTTAAAATAAAAAGCAAATAATGAAGCCTTAATACTACATATGATCTAAAAGTGAAATTTAGTACAATAAGTCATATTGAAAGCTAACAAACATCATATACTCTGTATGTAAAAACATTTCAAAGATTAATCTAGAAGAAAATGTAGTGAGGACAATCATGCAAAGCAAAAGCTCAACCACTGAGCTACATATCCTTATCTCTAGTTCTAGAACAATCTTTTTTGGCAGTAGTAGAATTTGAACCAGGGCCTTACATTTGCTTGGCTGGCACTTGACTACTTGGGTCATGACTCCATCCTGGATTTTTGCTGGCTGTTTTAGAGATAAAATCCTGTAGCCTTTACTGCCAAGCATGGCTTCAAACTGTAATTTTCTGATCTCAAATTCCTGTATAGTTTGGATTACAGATGTCCAGCTAGAGCAATCTTAATGGAGAAAATGCATCTATAGCATTAAACATTTAGTTAGTGATAGCCCAGGGCTATTTATAAGATACCACTGAATTGTAACAATTATGTCGCAGTTATATCACTACCATGGAATAAAAGCATCATGACTGGCAGCCATTCACCAGTGTGAATGTATGACAGCTTCGCTCCATCATGAATATGGTCATAGACTGAAAAATTCCAGTTTTCTGGCAGGGTGCACATAGTATGAGAGTGTAGCTGGAAAGCTGGAGAAAAGTGGCATAGAAAGAAAAGCTATTAAGCCAGGTATGGGTGGCTCATGTGTGTAATCCTAGCTCAGGAGGCCGAGACCTGGAAGATTACAGGTTGAAGCCATCTTAAGCAGAAAAGTCCTCCAGATTCCATGTCCAATTAACCAGAAAAGGCTGGACTGGAGATGTGGCTGAAATTATAGAGTGCCAGCTGTGAGCAAGAGAGCCCAGTGAGAGTGCAAGGTCGTTAATTCAAGCCCTAGCATCAACACAAAAGACAACAGAAAAGCTATTTAGGCCTAGCTTCCTTATGCTCCCTGGTATAGAAGAACTGGATTTACTTGGTGGCAGCCTTATCAGTATAAGCTTTGGACTCTGCAACAAGCCTGGCATTTGGACATTAATGGATAGTTTTGACATATGGCATGGAGATAAGTGGCCCCAAATGATAGCAATAAGGATCACAGAGAAACGTTTTGCAATTGAGTGGGAATAACAAGGTGGCTATGGTTATGGCTGACTCTGCCTGGGTTTGAGCTTTCCTCTCCACACACCTTGCTGGTCTCACTATGCTTGCTGACATTCCAGCAGGAGGGAGATGGGACCGTGCTCAATTGAAGAGATGGCAAGAAGGATCCCGGAAAGAAATCACTATCAGTATATGGATCTTATCAGCTGCATTTTCCTTGCACAATGAATATGAAGCAGATGTGATTTTTGAATAAACATTTTCATTAGGCACTATTATTATAATTAAGGATTAGATGAAGCTATTCCATCTCTTTCCACCAAAATAGATTATTGGCTTGTTGGATGAACACATGCCACATTTAGGGAGCATGTGACTAATAAATATCTAAGTTTGTAAAGACACTTGTCAGGGGGTAAAGGGAAATAAGTGAGAGTGACCAAAGAGGGGGGGTGCTGATCAGGCAGAGTACACTGTATGCATATACGGACACGTTAAAATCAAACGTCTTTGTGTAACTAATTGATGCTAATAAAAATGTGGGGAGAAAACCCAACGTACTCTTAACCTAAAATATACTTTTTTTTCTTTTTTTTTTGGGGGGGGTCTGGTTGTGGGCCCGAACTCTGGGCCTGAGTGCTGTCCCTCAGCTCTTCAGCTCAAGGCTAGCGCTCTACCACTTGAGTCACAGTGCCACTTCCGGCTTTTTTTCTGCTTATGTGGTGCTGAGGAATCGAACCAGGGACTCAGGCATGCAAGGCAAGCACTCTACCACTGAGCCACTTTCCCAGCCCTACTTTTTTTGTGTCACTACTGGGGCTTGAACTTGGTGCCTGTGCTCTGTCCTGGGGCTCTTTTTGCTCAGGGTTGAGTCATAGCTCTATGTTCGGCTTTATGTGATTCATTGGAGGTAAGAGTCTCATAGACTTTTCCTGCCTGGGTTATTTTTGAACCCAGATACTCAGCTATCAGCCTCCTGAGTAGCTACAATAACAGGTGTAAGCTACTGGCATCCTGCATAAAAAGACACTTGTCAAATGATACTAGGTACAGGTAGTAAACTATTACCACCAAGTTGTATATTTCAAGTTCATCTTTGTAAATACATATGAAAACTAAAGTTTATTATTTCATGCCTTTTACAGAAGAAATCTAATCTGTACCAATTTAGTAACTACACTTAAACGCTATATTCAAGATGCAAAACACAAAATGGATGAGAAGGCTCAAGGAACTAAAGAAAAGTGAATGCATAAGGTAGTACATAATGAATTTATCAACATACAAACAGACTTGCTCTCTATGTTTAGAGCCTAGCTATTGGAGCAGGATGTAGGCAATCATATTCATATTGTATTATTCTGTCTTCCTAGCCATATGTATCTTTTAATATTTATGTGGTCTACCATAATCTTTCTCAGCCAGTTACTGTGTTCAAACATGCCAGCCATATATCTGTCTTTGGTAAATTTTGAAGAAGTAAGTTAGGGCACTCTTACCTCCAACTAACCATTAGAAAACTGGAAGTGGCACTGTGGCTCAAGTGGTAGAGCGCTAGCCTTGAGCTGAAGAGCTGAGGGACAGCGCCCAGGCCCAGAGTTCAAGCTCCATGACCAACTAAAAAAAAAAGTTAGGGCCAGAGGACATAGCTCAAGTGAGAGTGCCTGCTTAGCAAGTGTGAAAAGGCCCAGAGCTCAAATCTCAGAACTACTTTTTACAAAAATAAACATGTGCCAGGCGCTGGTGACTCACACCTGTAATCCTAGCTACTCAGAAGTCTGAGATCTGAGGATCACAGTTCAAAGCCAGTCCAGGCAGGAAAGTCTGTAAGACTCTTATTTTCAATTAACCACCAGAAAACTGGAAGTGGTGCTGTGACTCAAGTGGTAGAGTACTAGCCTTGAAATGAAGAGCACAGGAACAGCGCCTAGGCCCAAACTTCAAGCCCCATGACCAACCAAAACAAAAAGTTCCTAACTTTTAAACTCCAAAACACTACTTCAAAGTTTCCTATTGGCACATAAATTCTGATTGATGCCCAATTAACTGTCTATCTGTGTTCCTTCCTCTCAGGGAGAAAAATGTGAGATCAAGATCTTACAATTGGCTACTTTTCTCTTCCAACCTGCAGTACCCACTGAGGTATTCAAACAAGCACTCTTAACTTCTATTAATCATTTAAGAACTTGGCTGATAATGGTCAGGTGGAAGATGGAGAGAGTCTCAGACAGACAGACAGAGAGACAGAGAGAGAGACAGAGAGAAGGAAATTTTGGCAATTTTATTGAATCCCTATCATGTTCTATATACTGGACTAGGCACTTGACATTAAGAGATAGCATCTGATTTACTAGCATTAGTGTTCCTGGCAGAGAAGGAAGGGATATAAAATAACCTACTTTTTCTGCCTCCTGATTCAGTTGCCTGGAACCTGGATTCAAAGAATATGTTTTCATACTCCTGCTGACTCAAGTGCACTTTGATCATAAAAACCCCAGGTTACTATAACCTGTAAAAAAATTTGTCATTCCCCTTCCCTGCAACAAACTTTAGACATAAATAATGTCATACTCCTACATAAGATCTGCTGAACAACAAGAATATTTATTCTAGAACAATTACATATTCCATTATACTTGTCAAATCTGATGAGTTAGTAAATCCTCATTAGAAGAACCATCAAATATAGAATCTCTTGTCTGGTCTGTGGAAAGCTTATCAACACAGGGCTATAAAGCACAGAGATTAAGAGTCATAGTAAAGGAATGTGAAGGACTGGGGTACAAATATCACACCTTGTATATGCTTAATTTGCATATTTGAAAATAGAATAATGAAGCCTATTTCAAGAAGAGGGAGAGGGAAGATGGATAGAGAATAATCACATCCCACACTTAGTAGCTTTATGACAATGAATAAATTAACTATCCTCTCTAAATATCAGTTTCTTAATTATTCCTATAGAAGAGGAATAATTGTGTTCCCATATATTAGGATTTATATGGATTAAATAATATAAGAAATTTAAAGCATGAAACATTATATATAAAACAATAGCCACTGTCTGAATATGTGTTACAATTTTCAGCTTTGGGGGTAAGTTTCTTTTCTTCAAATCATGTAACAGGCAGGCATTTTAATGTTCAAAGATTATCTTCAAATAGTATAGTTGAGGTTGCAACAGAAAGATCACAAAAATCAGAGACAGTGGGCTCCACCTCTGCCTTTGACTCAAGGCTACCAATTTAAACAACCACTTAAACGCTCTGAGCATTACTATTCTCATCCTAAGGCAGGATTCATTATCTTACTACTGTTAGAGGGCTTGTTCCAGATTCTACATGGGTGGGTAGTAAGGAGATGATGACATGTCAAATCTCTACTTCTTTTATTCTTTCTGCTTCTTGTCAGAGGATAAAGAGGAGAAAGCACAGCATCAGGAAAACATCTACAAAAATATGACTTCATGATTAGTGTTTAAAAAAACCTTGGGCAAGAATATACTGAGCTGAGTGCTGGTGGCTCACACCTGTAATTAGCTACTCAGAAGGCTGAGATCTGAGGATCACAGTTCAAAGCCAGTCCTGGCAGGAAAGTCTGTGAGACTTTTTATCTCCAATAAACCGCTCAGAAAACTGGAAGTGGCACTAGGCTCAAGTGGTAGAGCACTAGCCTTGAGCTGAAGAGCTGAGGGACAGTGCCCAGGCTCAGAGTTCAAGCCCCACGACCAACAACAACAACAAAAAGAATAATATAGTGAAAATTATATTATTATTATTAATATTACTTCTGCCTGGTCCTGGGGTTTGAACTCAGGGTGTGAGCATTGTCCCTGAGCTTCTTTGTGCTCAAGGCTGGCACCATACCTTGAGGCATAGCATCATTTCTTGCTTTGTCTGAGTAGTTTATTGGAGATAAGAGTCTCATAGACTTTCCTGCCCAGGCTGGCTCCAAACCACGAACCTCAGATCTCAGCCACCTGAGTAGCTAGGCTGACAGGAGTGAGCCACTGGCACCTGGGTGAAAATTATTAATTCACATTATGGTCCTTCTTCATCTCCTCCCAGCTTTCTCTCTTCCCCAACCAATCTCATTGTCCTAAAAAAGGAGCAAGAATAGGGCCTTGTGGGGGAAAAACAGAGTTGGAACATGCCTGACCCTCAAGAGGCTGAGGCAGAAAGATTTTAAGTTCAAGGCCAGTCTGGGTTACATAGTACCTCCTCTTTCCCTTCAATAAAGGCAAGAATATTCAGAACTGAAATTTATTTCCTGCGATAAAAAAGGTAATAGACTTTAATAAAGTGAAGTCTTTACAAATTGGGATGTTATATGGTGTAACATATTTTATTTGAAGGAAATTTTTAAAAATTTAAAAATAAAGATACTAATATTAGACTGAGTAAGCTATTGTTTTTTGGGCCTGAATGAAAGTCAGAAAGCTTTCTCCAACAAAACACCAATGGGAAAACAAACATTTAAAACAACAGTATTTTTAAAGTCTATATCTTGAACTCACGTGTTTTTAGCTTGTCCATCCTGGAAACACATTTGTCCTACTAAAGCAGCAGATTGGTCTCCCAAACACTGAAAGTATAAATGACAATAAAAAAAACATTATAACACTATTACTAATTTTCTTTTTTAGAAGATCCAGAAGGTTTACTTTTTCGTGTTATCTATCAAGGAGTGGAATGTTTTTCATTTCTCTTTCTACCATTTAGCCAATTTTTCTCATTTGTAGTACCCCTACAAGATAATAGTCATGGGAAGGGAGAATCAAAATTAATTTTGCCAAAATTTCCAATGGCTCATCCGTGTCACATAAAAATAAGAACTGGCTAGGTCCCGGTGGCTTACACCTGTAATCCTAGCTACTCAGGAGGCTGAGATCTGAGGATCGGGGTTCAAAGCCAGCCCAGGCAGGAATGTCCATGAGACTCTTATCTCCAATAAACCACCAGGAAACCAGAAGTGGTGCTGTAGCTCAAGTGGTAGAGTCCTAGCCTTAAGCTGAAGAGCTGAGGGACAGTGCTCAGGCCCAGAGTTCAAGCCCCATGACCAACAAAAAAAATAATAAAAATAAGAACTGGACAATTTTGCTGATCTTACTTGTTTCTCCTTAGTTTAAGAAGGGGCTTACTGCCGGGTGCAGGTGGCTCACGCCTGTAATCCTAACTATTCAGGTGCCTGAGATCTGAGGATCATGATTAAAAGCCAGTCTGGGCAGGAAAGTCTGTGAGATTCTTATCTCCAATTAACCACTAGGAAACCAGAAGTGGCGCTGTGGCTCAAGTGGTAGAGCACTTGCCTTGAGCTGAAGAGCTCAGGGACAGTGCCCAGGCCAAGTTCAAGCCTCACAACTGACCAAAAAACAACAACAAAGGACATACTGACTAAGATAGAGGAGGAAACTGACAATATAACAGGGTGGGAATGGGGAGCTAATAACTTGGTGTTTAGTGATTAAACTTACCCCAGATATTGGCACACCTTCCAAAGCCCCGGCTTTCTAATAAAGTTTAAAAAAGAAATTAGAAACAGTCAAAAATTTTTGGCTCTACAAATAGAACTCAATAGGAATGAACATGAAGAGCAACGTGCCAGAGGATGTGGGCGACAAGACAAAGCAAGTGTTTCAACTCTATGAGTGGTACAGAGACAAGACACTAGAAATATTTCTAGAATGACAAGAAGAGACGTGGTATTGGAAAATGAACATAAAACATGGACTGGGAATCAGGAGACATCAGCTCTATTCCTAGTTAGTTAGTGTTAGGCCACAAGCAGGCTGCTGAAATTTCTCTAGACTACAACTTACTTATTTACAAAATGAGTACCTGGCTAGGTGATTACTGGAGCCCATTACTACTTTGTTATTATTGCTGCTATTATTATGACTTGTCTAGCATATGCTTTAGGATAGCTATGGAATGAGCATGGAACATAATTGTTTTTGAGAAAGCCATTTTTTATTGACGGTTCTTTTTACTTAAACTGCTCTTAAGGAAGAAAGAAAAGTGTTCAGTCATTAGATTTTTCTGCTGATAGTAAACATCACTCTTCAAATCTAGGCAGGCAACAGTTGAAATGTGGCATGAATAATGTGGTTTTATTTGGATCAATGTGGTCAACATTCTTGAAAGAAACATGAGTTTTAAGTGAATGACTGTTGGGAGGTTATCACTTAGGTAAAATAAAAACATAATAGGGTTGGGGGATGTATCTCAATGGTACAGGTATTGCCTAGCATACGAGAGGATCTGAGTTTGATCCTTAGGACCACTAAAATTAAAAAAAAAGAACACAAAGCTATTTTTGCTGATATCAAAACATTAGGGGAAATAATAAAAGGGATCCCTTAAGTAAGGGTGGTATGCCAGAAAGAGCACCAAATAAAGGCTTTGGAGTGACTCCTTTGCCTGTTGTTCATGAGCAAATGGCCCTGGGTGCTAATGGCTACTGGGAGCCCTTTAGCACCCTGGCTATCAAAGTGAAGGGAAGAATAGAATCTTCCTCATGTATCTATGATGCTGAGGAACTAATAACATATGTGAGAAACATTTACAAAATTTTTTTTAAAAATCCCCTCTAGATAGCTGGAATTATTTTGTTTCTTTAAGAACTGCTATATTTCAAGTTATTTTCTTTTCCCAGTGCTAGAGATCTAACACAAGGACTTGTAAAACTACTATGCAAGTTCTCTATCACTAAATGACACCCATAGCCCAAGACCTGCTGTTTTTATTTACTATATATTTTCTTCAAAAACCTAAACCTAGATTCTAAGCAAAGGCTAAATAAATTGCTTAAAGGACTTAAAGTGAAACGATAGGGAACCTAGAGGCTTCATCTTGACTTATTTAAATGCTGTATGTCTGCTTATACTTTTGAAATTATGAAACCTAGCAGAATCTACTTCAGGCACATGAAGCTCTCCTTTTTTCTTCAAGTGGGGGGGGAGGCTTCTGGAGGATTCCTGGAGCATCCTCTGATGAAGCATGCAGAAAAAGTGACAGTGCATTTCCAACTAACTAGTCTGAAAAATCGATGAAGATAACATTTAAGATAAATGTTTCGAATATTTTTAAATAATATCTAAATTCCCTATTATTCTAAAGCTCAAAGTACATTATAACTGTACTTTGTAATAGGTAACATCATCATCACTCATTCCAGGAACCTAGCTCTTTTATTTTGGGAAGCATTACTCTTGGTCTTGAGAAATGAATAGGATTAATTAAAAAAAAAAAACAAACTAAACTGAGCTTATATTTTGGAGGGTAATGGAAATTCTAGGTAAGTCTGTTTGGTAAATGAACTTCTGCTTGTCTAAAAATAAATGGAAATGCACTGTATCTTTTCCAAATGAATGGGCAGCATAATTGGTGGGTAACCTACTCACCAGGCTATGAGAGATTTTCTATAGTCAGCAAGAGGAAGAAGGGGGACAGAAGCATAACATTTTAAATGCAAGAGAAAACTAGGCCAGTTAACTGTTTTCTTTCAATCACTGAAACTATTTCTCAAGAACAGTTTCTTTTCTCTGAGACAACTCAGTTTGTGGTAAGTGTGAAGGTGTCGAAGCACTTTTATTATAGATACTGTGGTGGCGACGCCTGCCTTAAGAAATTCCATGTCGCCTTAAAAAAGCTTTATTAAAAATTAAACAGTGAAATCTCAAGGTTCATCCAGAGCATTTGGGCTTCAACTCTATTCTAATGAACTCTTTAAAGGAATTTCTTTCTAATCTTCTGGTAAGTTGTCTTAAACTTATCCATTTTTATCACAAATTCTCCACTTTCATACTCAAATACAAATTCCAATTCTCCTAGAGGTTCTCATTATATATGTCTGACCACAGATTCTCAATGATGCAACATACTTTTTGCTGAAACTACTTTTTGTAAGGTTTCAATGCAAGCCATAATAAAAATATTATGGAAATCAGCTTAATTAGCAATCTCAATTCAGAAATAGACTCTTTAATTTCAGTTTCTTGGCTAGATCTTTCTCAGGATAACAAGAGCCATTAGGAAACATTCTTTAAGAAAAAGAACTTGAATAATCTATGAATAGTACCTGCTCAAAATTAAAAGCAGATTATCGTAGCTACTAGTTATTTTGATTGAAAATAATAAACTGGCTCAAACATTCCCACACCACTGTTTGAAGTTAGGTTATCCTAAGAAAAATCAATTAAAGTTTATAAGTTTATGAAGACAATTTGTACTATTTTTAGTTATAAAACTATTTAAACAACTTTTTACATAGTACCAACATTCACAGAAAAGGTCCATATCCCAAACTACAAAACACAATAAAATTGACTATTGAATTTTGAATAGTGATTTTTTAAGTCTCCCCCTCCCCCTTTTAATATTTTTACCATTAAGCCATAGATCTCAGAAGAACTCCGGACATTTGGAAGAATTTCCATTGGAATTCCAAAAAATCTGAAAAATATCATGTTTGGGTATATAACACCATTTGAATAAACACCTAGAAAATTTTATATGCACTCAAAGGAAAAATATAAATAATTAGAAAATGCATTGAAACATAGTTAAAGTAATAGGTATATAAACCATCAGACTATAGTTATATGTTTAAAATGTTTTTGTGTATGCCAGTCCTAGGGCTTTAATTCAGGGCCCAGGAGCTGTCTCTGAGCCTTTTTGTTTAAGGCTGGCACTCTACCACTAGAACCATAGCTTAACTGCCAGCTTTTTGCAGTTTATTTGGAGGTAAGAATCTCATAGACTTTCCTGCCTAGGTTGGTTTTGAGCCCTGACCCTCTGATCTCAGCCTTCTGAGTAGCTAAGATTACAGGTATAAGGCACTGGCACCCAACTGATTTTTTTGGCAGTACTAGGGGTTTCTAGGCAAGCAATCTACCACTTGAGCCACTACCCAGCCCTATATTTGGGCACTTAACACTCTACCTTTGTGTAATCAGTTCAATAAAATTAAAAGTACACTAAGAAACCAAAGTACTTTTCTAAAGGAATCTTAATGCAGTCAGAGTAATTAGTTGCACCTGTTTATTATATGCAGTAGTAAGTCTCCCTTAAAAAAGAATATAACAGGGACTGGGAAGGTAACTCAGTGGTAGAGTGCTTGCCTTGCATGAATAAGGCCCTGGGTTCGATTCCTCAGCACCACACAAGCAGAAAAAGTTGGAAGAGGCACTGTGGCTCAAGTGATAGAGCGCTAGCCTTGAGCTGAAGAGCTGAGGGACCGTGCCCAGGCCCAGAGTTCAAGCCCCATGACTGACAAAAAAAAAAAAAAGAGAATATAACATACACTTTCATATTGCAGTTGTCAATAGTTAAATTGTGGTGATCCACTAAAGTGATAATAGTGAAGCTTGGGTTATAAATAAGTAACACACTAGGAAAGCTATACTTAGGGTAATACACAACTTACTCGCAGAGCTCTTTATCCCATTCTAAAGAATGAATGTTGAAAAGCATTGTCCTACTTGCATTCGTTACATCAGTACAGTGGACACCGCCATTGACTCCTCCTGTCAGACTCTAGACAGAATATAACAGACAAGATTAAATTTGTAATATTTGCAATTTAATTTACATTGCTATTGTTAAGGGCCACAATCAGCAGCAGAGCACAAAAAGCACAACATTCCAGTTACTGAGTTTTCTAGTTTTCACAATGTTTAATAGAAATAAAATGTGAGCTACATCCATAATTATAAGCATTGTAGCCATGATTTTAAAAACACAGAAAGCAGGTGAAATTAATTTTAATAACACTATTTGATTAAACTCAATATAATTTTTGTGCCAGTATTGGGGCTTGAACTCAAGGCCTTATGCCCTTGCTTGGCTTTTTCCCCTCATGGCTGGCTATCTACTGCTTGAGTCAGGCCTCCAGTTCAGGCAATTTGTTGGTTAATTGAAAATATCAATCTCCAGGACTTTTCTACACAGGCTGTCTTTAAACCTTAACTCTCAGATCTCAGCCTCCTGAGCAGCTAAGATTACATGTGTGAACCAATAGTGGCCAGCTTTCCAAATATAATTTGAATATGTAACCGATATTAAAAATTACCAAACAATTGGCCTTCTTTTGGTACAGTCTATGTACTTTATAGTCATAGTGCATCATAGTTCAAAGTGACTGTATTTCAAGTATCCATAGACACATGGGGCTTGTGGCCACAGAGTTAGTGTAATCTTAGTTAGTGAGTGGTTAAGCAAACAGAAAGAAATCAGTTTTGTTTTTATCTTATCTTTGGAAAATTCAGTCTTACTCAATTTGACTATGTGAAATAAATGGAAAAGTTTGCCTACCTAAGGGCTTTAGAGACATGTATTCTCAATTTTTTTCTTTCTTAATAACAATTCACATATATCCTGAAGAGTTTAAAATTCCATATTAACACCTACAACCAGGAAGTACATCCAGTGCTGCCCATATTTATAAAAGGAATGAAGGTGGACAAATGACTCCCTTCAGTCTCCAGCTCACAGTTCCCACATCCTGTCTCTCTGGTTGAAGGCAATTGTAATAGCTACTCATTCAACTGTGACTGGCACATAATAAACAGCTAAAAGCACAACTGCCCTGTTCTAAGCACAGGGAGGGGATGGATAAGGCATTTCATCCAGGAAATGATTCTGAAAGACCTGCTTTGTGGATCTGGCAAGTGAGAAACAAGACAATATTCCCTTGTGTTTCCTCAAGTGTCGAAAAATGTTCACATACTACTTAAAAATGCAATGATAGGCTTGGGTTTGTGTTAAAATGATCTGTCAGAGGCTAGGTACCAATGGTTTACACCTATAATCCCAGCTACTCAGGAGGCTAACAGCTGGAGGATCACCATTTAAAGCCAGTCTGGTTCTTGGAGACTTCACTTTAAAATAAAGAGTAAAAAGCTAGGGTGAAGGCATGACTCAAATGGTAGACTATGGGCCAAGCAAGCCAAGTTAAGCAAGTAAGTGCTCGAGGCCTTGGATTTAAACCCCCAATACTAGGGAAAAAATGCATCTGTGGAGAGAAAGAATAGGTATATTCAATTCTTGAAAAAAGATTGGCCTGTAGGTCGATAATTGTTGCAGCTGGCTTATTGTTAGAGATGCTCATTAGACTATTTCCTCTACTCTTAAGAACACTGGAAAACACTCATGATGAAAATAATGGAGAATGAAGTGGGAGAACAAACCACAAGGGAAATGTACTTTTAAGATCTATCTTGGAAATGTCTAAAATTTCTGTTCAGCTTAGGCAAAAAGAGACTATATAAAAGAAATTTCTGGAACAACCAGTTTCTGAGTCCTGTTGCTTCTCAGTACTCTTCTGAGCAGCCTTTACTGTCTCTTTGTTAAATAAACTCCTTGTTACCTTACTTAAAAAAAATTTCCACTCTTACTTAGTTTTCTATTATGGCTTGATTACACAAAAGACAGGTATGAAATGTTGAAAGTGAATGAAAAAAGTACCTTATGTGTTTTGTCATGTTAAATAGATTGTTTTCTGAGGAATTCCTTGGAAGGAAAAAAAAGCATATGACAGGTGAGAGAAAGACTCAGTTACTTATTCTAAATATATTAGATTTATGTCTTTGGTCAATATCCTCCAAGTTCAAAGCAAGAAAGGCAAGAGAAAAAATAGGAAGCAGACAACATGCTTCACAAATGAAAGCTGAAATATTCTGCTACTCCTTGAGTGTTTTTTTTCAATAACAATGCTAACTGAAAGTTCAAAATGTTGGTAGAAAATGATAGGCAAGTCATTCTAAAAAAACTCCACAAATTTTCCATATATACATTGTATTTAAACATACCCAAATAAGCCATGAATCAATGGTTCCAAAAAGAGCTCTATTTTCTTCCACAGCCTTTTGTACTTTTTTCACATTGTCAAGGAGCCAACGAAGTTTCACTGCACTGAAGTAAGTGCTAAGTGGAAGTCCTGTCTTGGACTAAAACAGGAAATTCAGCAAAATAAATTTGTAACAGTTCAAAACAAAAACCTCCACGTCAAAGAACTCAAGAAAGCACAAAATAGTTAAATGTCCTAAGCATAATCACTAGAACTAGGAATGAAAACACTTTTCTTATCTCATGATGGCACAGGAAAGCATGGTCAAGAAACAAAGATCAGAACAATTATGTTTGCAGTTCAAAGAGCATCCACGTAGCAAGCAAAGTAAAGAGAAAATTAAGTGACACAATATCCTGTAATTAGATAGTGTCACTGTAGATGGTGTTTTGCAATAAATTACCAGTATAAATAGAACCTAACCCTAAAGTCTGAAGATTATATTTTATGTCATCAAAGTAGTACACTACTGAAAACTAGAGTATATATCTAATGACCATAATTAGAAGGTTGTTTTCAGGGCTGGGAAGGTGGCCTAGTGGTACAGTGCTCGCCTAGCATGCATGAAGCCCTGGATTCAATTCCTCAATACCACATGCACAGAAAAAGCCAGAAGTGGCACTGTGGCACAAGTGGTAGAGTGCTAGCCTTGAGCAAAAAAAGAAGCTCAGCGTCAGTTCCCAGGCCCTGAATTCAAGACCCAGGACGGCAAAACAAAGGTGTTTTCAAACACATGAGTTTTTAACAATAACATTTTTGTGTTTATACACATATACAATATTCAAATAACACAGTAATATAAAGAGTGAAAAGTAAAGTAGAACATAGACATTCCAGAATAAAGCAAAACAAAATTATTCTACATAAATAGTCCACTGACTAAAGTCACCAAATACACTGAACAGGAGCAAGGACTGAATAAAGACTAAAGGGTAAAAATGAAACACATGTACTTATCAATCTTCCTTGACAATGAGTCAGATCCAACTTCACTTGTTAAGATATTAAATAAAAATTTAAATATAAAAGTTGGCCTTTATTTATAGCAATCTGTAAATTAAGAATCTTAATGGAAAGACTTGGAAAAAATTATATTAAGTGAAGTAAGCCAGGCCCAAAGAAACATAGATCCCATGGTTTCCCTTATTTGCAATAACTAGTATATGTCTGAGTCAAGTAGAAAAGGTCAGATAAGGTGATGTTAGGGAAATGAACCCTGAAGTATGTATTCAAATGTTTTTTTTTTTTCTTGGATTGTTTCTAATACATTTATAAGGTTATTTCTTTGTTGCTTTGTATGTCCCTCCCCCATGGTATAACCCCTGCTTTCACTGTATTTGATGTCGGTATAATTTGTGGAGGGGAAGGGGAAAAACAAATCGTTTAAATAGGGATACAGGTGGACCCATTGCAACAATGAGATGTACAAGTTGTCATGTTGAAAACGAACTTTACAACTTTGGTGTGGGGGGAGGGGAGGGGGAGAGGATTGGGTAGGGGGACGGGGGGGAGGATGAGAAGGGATGGGAAGGGGAAACAAAGGAGGAGGCTACAATGCTTGATAGGAAATGTACTCATTATCTTGCCCATGTAATTGTAACCCCTCTGTACAGTATTTTCATAATAAAAAATAAAATAAAATTCCTAGAACTTAAAAAAAAAAGAATCTTAATGCAGCCAGGTGCCAGTGGCTCACTCCAGTAATCCTAACTACTCAGGAGGCTGAGATCTAGGGATCATGGTTCAAAGCCAACCTAGAAAGTCCATGAGACTTTTATCTCAAATTAACTAACAAAAAGCTAGAAATTGGCCAGGTGCTGGTGGCTCACGCCTATAATCCTAGCTACTCAGGAAGCTGAGAGCTGAGGATCACGGTTCAAATCCAGTGGGGCAGGAAAGTCCCTGAGACTCTTATCTCCAATAAACCACTCAGAAACTGAAAGTGGTGCAGTGGTTCAAGTGGTAGAGTGCTCACCTTGAGCTGAAGAGCTGAGGGACAGTGTTCAGGCCCAGAGTTCAAGGCCCATGACCGACAAAAAAAAAGGTAGAAATGGAGATGTGGCTCAAGTAGTAGAGCACTAGCCTCAAATAAAGAAGCTCAGGGACAGTGTCTAGGCCTTGAGTCCACACTCTAGGAGTGGCAAAACAACCACACCACCACAACAAAACCCCTTACTTAATGCAACATCTTCTTATGGCAATATTATTTGACTTGGAAGACCAAGAATTATCTCATAGGATGATTTTTGAAGATCCCACAAACCTGGCAGTGAGGTAGTACATATTACTTGATTTATTTCCCCTGGGTCGTGGGGCTTGAACTCTGGGCCTGGGAGCTGTCCCTCAGCTCTTCAGCTCAAGGTGAGCACTCTACCACTTGAGCCACAGTGCCACTTCGTTTTCTGGTGGTTTATTGGAGATAAGAGTCTCACAGACTTTCCTGCCCAAGCTGGCTTTGAACTGCGATCCTCAGAGCTCAGCCTCCTGAGTAGCTAGGATTACAGGCGTGAGCCACTGGTGCCCAGCTTTATTACTTGATTTTTATGATATGGGTAGAAAGTTTAAAAGTTGCCTTTTAGGCTGGGAAGGTGGCTCAGTGGTAGAGTGCTTGCCTTACATGCATGAGGACCTGGGTTCAATTCCTCAGCACCATATAAACATAAAAACCCAGAAGTGGCACTGTGGCTCAAGTGGTAGAGTCCTAGTCTTGAGCACAGAGAAGCTCAGGGACAGTGCCCAGGCTCAGTTCAAGCCCCAGGACTGGCAAAAAAAAATGTTGCCTTAAGTATCACTGGGAAAAAAACATGTGCCTCCAGAAGCCCAGTTCAGCTGGATGTGACCATGAGAGGTCAGGCAGTGTGACAAAAAGAATGGATCAGGAAAACAGGCAAGGGTTCATTCAAGGTAAAGCTGAAACTGTTTAGACAGGGAGAAGGGCAAAGAATAGTTGGCTGGACAGTTATTATTAATGGGATTTGAACACTGGTTTCAGATCCAAGGACCAAAAGAAAATGATATAAGCATCTTATTAGCAAATGAAAGAGAATAATCCAAAAACCAAAAGCCAAGCAAATAAACATATCAACAAAAAATACAGGACATGAAAAGTTCTTTTTGAATTCTAGAACTTGGCTTTGATGTTGTTTAGAAATTCTTCCTTCATTGATATGAAGAGAAAGATATATATGAAGACTGAAAATTAGGAATTCTTTTTTCAATCATGGGACTTGAACTCAGGGCCTAAGCACTGTCCCTGAACTCAAGGCTCAGTGCTAGTTCAAGGCTAGCACTCTACCACTTGAGCTACAGCACCACTTATGGCTTTTTCTGTTCATGTGGTACTGAGGAATTGAACCCAGGGCTTCATGCATGTACTCTAAGCCACATTCCCAGCCCAAGAATTTTTTAAAAATATTTTTGCTTATACGAAGTAGAAGTCTTCAGCAAAGGACTAGATTATCTTCTACTTTCTCTCCCTCTTCCCAAATCCAGATGCATAAAACCTCAAGGCACCCAGAACTTTCTTCGCTGGGCAACAGGACACAATAGGAATATATACTGAAAGAATGCTTGAATTACCATTCCTGTCAATCCATCCAACCTGGGCCTCAGTTTATATTCTATAAATCTATTACACAACTACTTTACCATTAGATGTAAGGCCCAATAGGAGGTTTGTTTGTGAAATCTGTTAACATTGGATTTTTAAAAACAAAATTTTGACAATATATTATTGAAGTGATCTCTTACCTTGACAAAGTTATTATTTCCTGGAATTCTTTTACTAAGATTCTCAACAGTAGACTGGGTTCTTAGATCAAGCCACACTATAGATCAAAATATAACACATATGAAAAAAAGTCATAACAATAAAAACAATGAAATCACTATCAACGATAAGAGATTGATTAGTTTCCATACACAATTAAAATGTTATAGCTCTTAAGAGAGAAATTAGAAATTAGAAATGAGTGGGAAAAATTGTTAGAAAAGAACAAATTTATGAGGGAAAATTTAAAGGTTCTATGCAAAATTACAGACCAAATTATGAGAATAATACAAACCTTATAGCTTTCATTTCATATTCTTCTTATGGAAAAACCTTACAAAAATGTTTGAAATATGTATTTGTCTAAACACACATGAGTGCACCAAAGACTTAAGAGGAAGGCAGGCTGGTTGGGAGAAGAAAATTTAAACAGCTCAATGTAAAGTATATAACTTGGGAACAATCTGTGACGAAGATAGCAGAGACCTGATCTTGTTACTAAAGAAAAAAATCCATCATTAATGTAGAAATTGCATGTTTACATTTAAAAACTTCAAACTATACTAGATCTGATATCATTTAAAATTTAAACGTCACACTTTCCTATTCTGGACTGTATGGGGAAAAACCTGTTCTAACAGATAATGATCTTTACTATAATAGCTAGCGTTCATTTTCTAATCCCCAAGTAGAAATTGTTTTGTTTCATGACAGAAGGCTTGGGCAAGAGAAACCACTAAATAGTACAATACGCAATTTTGAGAGGTAACCAATGGAATTAGCTGGGCTTTATTTGTCAAATTGAACTTAAGTTGGTCACTAAACTTTAACAATTTTTAATCTATTAAAGGTCACTTGTGTTTTGTGTGTGTGTGTGTGTGTGTGCTGGTCCTGGGGCCTGAACTCAAGGCCAGGGTGCTGTCCCTGAGCTGCTTTTGCTCAAGGCTAGCACTGTACTACTTGACCCACAGCTCCACTTCTGGCTTTCTGGTGGTTAATTGGAGATAAGAATCTCATGAACTTTCCTGCCCAGGTTGGCTTTGAACTGTGATCCTCAGAGCCCATCCTCCTTGGTTATGTTTAGGACACTGACTATACTCAGATGCCTTCTGAAAACATTCAGGCCCATAATCTATTTAAAGGACTCCATGGAAAATAAAAGTAGCTTGCCCATGACATACATCTGACACAGATGTTGCTTTGTTTGATTTGTGCTTTACCTGTATTATTCGGTTTTCTTCATTTAAAATCATTCATTTCTTATAGTGAATTTTAATCATTTTTTTCTAATTACTTAAGCTGTCATTTCTCTTGAGGGACCTATCTTAATTTTGACTGTGGCTACTTCCCATGAGATTTAAATTGAGGACTTCAGGATATGGCAGATATAAAAAGCTGCTATATTAGCCAGGTGCTGCTGGGGGTTCACAAATGTAATCCTACTTACTCAGGAGGCTGAGATCTGATGATCATGGTTCAAAGCCATCCTGGGCAGAAAAGTCCCTGTGAGACTCTTATCTCAAATTAACCAACAGAAAAGTGGTGCTGTGGCTCAATGTGGTAGAACACTAGCCTTGAGGTTAAAAAGCTCAGGGACAGTGCCCTGGGCCCTGAGTTCAAACCCCATGACCAACCAAAATAAACCCAAACAAACAAAAAAAATAAAAAGAGCCATCAAAACCACGAAAATAGGAGGAAAAACAAAACATGAAAATAGGTGGCCTATAGATTAAATCTGCAGTTTTCTGACCAGCCTCCCTTCTTCCTTCATCCAGGAGCAGTATCACACATTCTCTTTAGGAAGTCAGCTCTCCTTCATCCATGGCCATATGTCTTGTCTGAGATTTGACCCTACCTTGATTGCCAGTATTGGTTCTAGACCCAGTGTTTGGTTCAGACTTCAGTGGTTTATCAAACAGCTCAAGCTAGATTTGTGTTCAGTCCATGTACAGGAGTGTCTAACATGGGACTGCTATCTTATGAAGGGAGATCTGAATCTGCCACATTAGGAGCCATCCCAGAAAAGACAGATTTGTGGGGTATCCAAGTAACATTATCTGAGTTCAGAATCAAATGGCACTTAAACAAAGTTACCCTTAGATGGCTGGTTCCCCTAGCAAAAGAACCATTTTTTCACCTCATTTAGTTGGAATTGAGTATTCTAGCATTTCACACTATGATTGATTCAAGCCAACAGTGACATTACCATGGAGGCAGCAGGATCTTCTGTTGCCAGGTAACCAGGGCAGTCTGCTTTTTACACAGTGGTGGCACTGTATAACTGTGACAAAAGTGGATCTTCCTCACAATCAAGCAACCTTACCAGGTGTTATTGAATTAACAGGAGTAATTGGAAAGAGTGAAAGAAGTAGAGTTTTAACAAGTACATATCAATCCCCAGTATTTTTAACTATTGACAGCTATGCATTCAAAAATCAATTTAGTGCATTTTGATTACCTACTTCAAAAATTGAAACAGGATAAATTTCAACGAAACCCCCCATACTATTAATATATTGAAATAAAAATAGGATTTGAATGATAAATATCAGAATTCTCTGCATTTGTTAAGATTACTAGTAACTTGTGGTACTTCAGTTTTCCTTATGTGGGTTTGCTGTATCATAATATAAAATGTACCTCTTACCAAGGAACATAGATAAAGAAATTTGAAAGCTACTACCTTGGGCATTATTTTGTGCTCATCTTGATGTTTAAACTCAGGGCTGGGGCATTGTCCCTGACCTTTTTGTGCTCAGGGATAGTGTTCTACCACTTTGAGCCACAGTGCAATTTCCAGCTTTTTCAGTAGTTAATTCAAGGTAAGACTCTCATGGACTTTACTGCCTGGGCTAGCTTTGAACCATGATCCTCACATCTCAGCCTCATGAACAGCTAGGATTACAGATATGAATCATGAAAGCTCAGCCATTGGACATTTTGTTTTGTTTTGCTTTTGTTTGTCATGGGGCTTGAACTCTGGGCCTGGGTGCTGTCTCTCAGCTCTTCAGCTCAAGGCAAGCACTCTACCACTTGAACCACTGCGCCACTTCTGGTTTTCTGAGTGGTTGAATGGAGTCTCATGGACTTTCCTGACTGGGCTGGCTTTGAACCGTACTCAGATCTCAGCCTCCTGAGTAGCTAGGATAACAGGTGTGAGCCACTGGCACCCGGCCCATTGGACTTAAAAAAAATAACATTAGCTTTCTAACACTAGTGTTTCTCCTATTTTAATAGCTTGGACATTCACTGAGGAGTTTAATGATCCTTACTGCAAAGACTCAAACACTGGAGGTAGACTCATGAACCCAAAGTTCTATATTTGGCTTTTCTACTAACAAGCTTTGTGACTAAGCAAATCTTCTTTTTGGCCTGGATTTTCTAAATATGAAAGGAGGCTGGGCTAAATAGTCTCATGATATTTATGTTGTTTTAACAGCCAAAGACTTTAAGGGAATTAGAATACATGGACTGAATTAGTAAAACTGCCAAAGAGAAAGATGTCAGTGGTTGACATACTACCAAGCAATTCACCAATGCTCCCAATTAATGAAATTAAGAACAAAAACATTAGAGAACTCATTAAAGAAGCTAAGATGGCAACATTAGATTTGCAGAAGAAAAGACCAAACACCAAAGAGAAGAGCCCAAGCTGGAACACTAAGCCCCCTGTGTAGCTAATTTCTGAGAACAATCAAAAGAAGTGACAGAACCAGATCTGGCAGCAGCAGTCAATTTTCCCCAACATGTCTGAGTTGGAAGGTTGGGAAGTGAGCAACAGCCAGAGCACCAATACCTGAGGAAGTACCAGCAGCTGGAACTGAAGAGCCAGAGGGAACAACGGCAACTGGAACTGAAGAATCAGGAGAGACTGGAGCAGCTAGAGCATTAGAAGAAATAATGGCAATTCATGCTAGAGATGGCCAGGTTCAAGATCAGTGTACTCTTACTGACCACATAGGAGGTAGCAGACCACTTAGGTTAAGTTCATCAGAATGAACGTTTTTCTACACATTTGAGTGTAGAAAAAGAAAACAAAGAGACATGGAGTGGAAAGGGAATGAAGAAAAGTCCAGTCTGAATGTCTAGTTCCAATAGTACTCCTTTTTGGATGTTTCTGATTCAGGATGAATGACAATGAAAATGCATCCTAGTTAGAAAAACTAGTGAACTGAAATGATGCATCATGGACTGGATTGGAATCATCATGTATTTAGGGAGCACACAGGGGGATGTTAGAAAGGAATAAGGAACATGATACCATCTGTGTTATAGCCATCTGCTGTAGGAAATGAAAGGGGTATTTTGGGCAAGCACAGTCCCAAGAAATCACTTTCCCAGTAGGGCAACTGGAAGTAAAGGCCACCTCCCCAGAAAGGAATAGCATATGTTTAGAGCAAACAGGGAATTGCTAATTCCCAAAGTGATTAGGGCAAAAAGAGGAAAATAGATGCCTGGGAATTCAGAACACAATACATCCTTGATTCTAGAAGTTATATCCTTTATCTAGACCAAGTAAATTAGAATTAAATGGTATAAAAGAGATATTAAGTGATTAGAAGCCTCAAATGTAAAATATCAGTTAAGTTTAAATATAAACTATCCAGTATTATTAAGTTACAGCAAAATATAACAGTACATCTTTACCCAGGATTCCAGAGCTATAAGACTTTTCAAAAGATCTATACCAGGGTATCAGTGGCTCAAGCCTGTTATCCTAGCTACTCAGGAGGCTGAGTTCTGATGATTGAAGCTCCATGCCAGCTCTAATTAACAACACACAGAAAAGGCCAAAAATGGAGGTGAGGTTCAAGTGGTAGAATGCTAGCCTTGAGCAAAAACAAAAACAAATGAACAAACAAAGCTCAAGGACAGCACATAGGCCCTGAGTTCAAGCCCACGACTAGCACCAAAACACAGAAATGTGTAATAAAAGAAAAAAATAACAATGTTACATAACTATAAATAGCCTATATTACACAAAAGTAATAATAACTTCCTTCTACTGGGATGTGCTTATAATCCCAGCACTTGGCAGACTAAGGCAGGAGGATGAAA